CATCGTTATCTTCCTTATTAAGATTTTGCATAAACATATTAAAATTGGTATTTGTATTTTAATGAAACTAATGAAGACATAATTTGGCAATCACGGAACTCAAAACTAACATGCCAGACTGCTTTTTTAACAAATGTAAAATTGATGGGTAACTTTATTTAGTCAGGGTGGCCCATTCAGGTACATGGCTGTCTAACAGAGGAACCCTGGTTATTGATCAAATGTTACAGAGGGACCCTGGTTATTCATCAATTAATCAATGTGTTGTTCATTGTGTATTAATACTCATGTCATGGATGATTGATTGGTTGATTGATTAATTGGTTGATTGATTGATCAATTGATTGGTTGATTGATTGATTGACGTATTCAATTAATGACTTTCTGTTTGCCTGACTTACTGACAAATAGAATGGCGGACGGACCGTTGGACAGAGAGACGGACAGACTAGTCTTTAAATGAATCGCGCAATTTATTGATTGTTTCTTTTTCTTGCTCAGGGGTTCCTGTATTCAAACACTTAAAGGACACAAGGACAATGTGAACTGCATCCATGTGGATTCCACTAGGATCATCAGTGTTTCTTATGATCAAAGAGTGCGAGTCTGGGATTTTAATTCATGACCTCAACAGCAATCGTTGAATAAAGAGACAATATATTGTTCAAAAATGCACTCGTTTTGAGTATTCCTCTTTCAAAAAATTGATTACCTTATTCTGTGTTACACTTCACTCTAACTTCTCATTTCAGTCGTGTACTTTAAAGAAATCAGGCCGTCGCGAAAAGAGTCAATAGTTATAAATAAAATTCTTTATATATTTAATGCGAGAAATTTAAGCTTTTATTTGGTAAAGATTTCTGAAGGAGATAATCATCTATTTCCACATTGCAAGAGTGTTTTGGCATTTTTGGTCAGATTGGTAGTTTGGTAACTTGAATCGCATATTTTAGCTGTAAATAGTCTATTTAAATCCTGAGAATGCTGTGTAGATATGTATTAATAAAGTGATATGTCTTTAGTACACTGTGGTTTGTTAGCTCTCTTGTTACTTCTGAGCTGGAAGACCCCGTTCGATCACTCTGACTTTTTCTCTGGTTGGGCCATGACTTCCAAATCTGCAAGGGCATTTAGGGAATGTGGTTTAGCACTGTTGCTTGTGATCATGTTAGTTTCGCAATTCGGCGGCACACTTTAGTGAACCTTTACTGCTGTCCCTCCCTCGAGCACAAAGGGTACAACGTCGCCACGATGCATCGAATATATAACAAGTCTTAGTTCGTAAAAATAAATTGATGTTAAAAAAAAATTAAATATCACTAGCCCTTCAGTCACCTTCGCACTAACTGACGCAGAGGGTCTCAACAATCAGCCTCTAGCTAGCTGTTTCCCCCTGCTCCTTTTTTACCATTATCCACCATTTTTGTCAAAATATTGTACCTCTATCACTATCTACCATATCTTATTATTTATATATTTATCAATGAACCTATTCATTCATGTATTTATTGCGACATTTTTTACGAATTAAGGGTAGTTGATAAAATCGTCACACTGGCGGTGGACTTTGATACTGACATGATGTACAGCACTGTTGAGTATTGCGTGACGTTGCTTTCAGCACTTTACTTTCATGTTTATTTCCACTTCGTGACGTTCTTGCCGATAAAGTCCTGACACAAGTATATGATATTCGACATTGGAATGAATAGAAATCGCTTCTACCAAAATTTGACACCTTTATCATCGCGGTGGTTTCACTGGACATTCAAAACACCTGGCATACTTTCGTGAATTTATCGACAATCCACATCGAATCGCCTTGGGAATAAACTGCAAGCGACGACACGCTTTAACAAGTAAGCCGCGAGAAAGACCTTTGAACATCGCACCTTGTTTAACAAGGATTTCGAAAATGTGCCAGAAAGAAACACTAAACAAAGCAAAATGAAACGTGTAACCGAAACTAGAGTGAAGGGGAGTAACAGCAAGTGCAAAGGAATTCTCTCTGGTCTGAGAGTCTTCGTTGGGTCATTCCTTGCCATCGTATGTGTTCTCAAAGATATAGTTGGCTTTATATTCTTCGGAACTGTCCGTCTGTTCACCGAGTCGTGGCGATGTTTCATCCGAACTATTTTGAGACTCGCTAAGGAAATAACAGTGTCTTCCATGAGAATGATTCTGGGTGGCGTTGAGGAATTATGGAACATTGTCATTGGTAACATTCTACAAGCAATAGACTGTGGCAGCCGTTTCTTCGTTCGCCAATTGCAGCAGATCATTACAATACTTGGCTATTCGGTTGTAGTGGTCGTGTTTGCTGTTGCTTACTTTGTAATTCGAATCATGAAGTCCTTCTTCAATCACTAATCAGTGGTTAAACGAGATATTTATTGATTATGTATCAAAGTTCTATGAAGTAAACCGAAAATGTATGTAATACTGTGGTAATTTAGTATTATCAACTGAGTTGATAACGTTTGATTGGCCACCGTAAAGAGTTCATGATTTGACGTTTCGAGCGTTAGCCCTTCTTCAGAGCGATTGGCGAAGGGCTAACGCTCGAAACATCAGATTTTAAACACTTTATCAACTCAGTTGATAATACTAAATTACCCTGTTATTCTCTCCTACCGACGCAGCACCACAGTTTCTCCAGAAATTTACCCCCTTTATTCATATGTAATACTATTTTGTCTATGCTAGCGATCAGGCGGTATCATGAGTGACGATAACTATTGGATCCAGGGAAACGAGAAATATTCCTCCATTATTGAACAGGATGGACTTGTTATCGTGAGAACAATTTTGAAACCGATTATTGAAAAAGTAAACCGAGTTTTTCTACCACTTATTCTGGCAACGTATGTAAATCAATACTGTTTCTCAGATGTATTTGCGTGACGTGCATAATTTGAGATGACACCGCTCAATTATCATAACCTCAGCGTCCATGCATCGTCTTCAGTTTCCTCGGCGATTGGGAAGACATCCTCACAGTTAAAAAACTTACACGGCCTGAGTTAAGACAAGATTGTACGGGTTATCCTTATTTATGACGGCGAAAGCGAAAGAACGTCGAGGGTTCGGCTCGTCAAACTCGCTTGGCTTCGAAATATCCAGAGCGATAGGGCCGAACGCTCTTTAAAACGTCGAAGCGATTTCAAGCTTCTGAACACTCTGAAAGGGCTCATAAATCGACTCTGGAAGTTTACTGAGAAATTTTATGACTCCTTTGAACTTTCAAAGTGTCTTTGTATTTATTCGCAGAGAGAATAGACTGAGTATCTCGACTGTTTGATTCGCGTGATATGGCGCCAAAACGAGCGAAACAAACTGACACTTTCGTTGAACGTTCCATTTTCAAACCATTGCTTTTGCGCATTGGACATCTCATCGTGCTGCTCATCTGTAATTTCTACCTACTTCTGGTGCGTTATATTGGAGAAGGATTGCACACCTTACTGCAGGAGATGTTTGGTATGATTCGCGAAGTGATAAAAATTATCCTCACGTTGGCAGCTCGTATAATATCGGAGATTTGTTTTGGTGCAGCTCTAGTGATTGAAAAGATAGTTTCTGCTATTTTACATCTATTCCTTCTTCTAATACAAGGAATAGGAAGATTTATAAACCAGGTGGCAAAAGGACTAGTGGAACAGGCAGGATATGGTATTTCCTCTGCTATCTTTATCATCGTAACTTTGTATTTCGCGTGGCGGATTATTCCAGTTTTGAAGCAAATTAATCACGCAATCTCTCTTTATTACAGCGTGACAGAATAAAAAACACTAGCACTATGAGTCGCCGCCAACAGAGTATAAAAAATTGACTGCTAAATAACTGCCAGTGAGGGAAGAGGAGGAGAGGAAAGGGGTTTCATAAGATTATTATAGAACCTTAAGGGTGATCAG